TTTTGTAGTATTATTTATAATTCTGTGATATATATATATATATATATATATAGCCACTCTTCTTGAAACATAACAAAAGGAAAAAGTAATCGAAAAAGAAAAAGACCATACTTAATATTTTCTCATCTATTTGTCTTTTAAGTTTTAGTACATTATCTTTATATTATAATAGGTCTTAAAATTTCAAAAAGCTACACAATTTTGTTTTGATTCAAACCGAAGTGGCTGACTTTTTGGTCCAACAGGAAAAACGCACACATATAAAGAAGTTAAATACAATACCGTTAGGAGGTGTTTGGCTACCGTATAAGAATGTATGTTATTTATGTATAAAATATTATATTAGTTTTATTATATTTGGTAAAAAAATTATTAGGTTGAAAAGCCATATGACTTGTACTATATTTGGTTTATAAGTTTTAAATATTGTATAAAAATTATTCATGTGTTAATATTATACGGTATCTGGTTGTCTATTTGTGATCCTACATAATTAATACCTACATAACTTATGAGAAAATCTGTATATAAGTTACGCCGATAGATAGTGGAATAAATTATGCGAATATAAGTTATACATGTATTAAAATGATAAATATACATCTATCCTTATTAATTTACTAGTGTACTTAGCCGCGCTTCGCGCGGTTATAAAAATGATTAAAATAAAATTACATATTAATATCAATAATTACTTTAATAAAAAGAATTTTTTTAAATCACATAATTTTATAGAAGAGAAACTATGAAAAATATTTAGATTAAATATGAAATTTATTAAGAAATCAATATATGTGAACTTCGAAAAGTTAAATATTAAAATAAATTTTATAGAGAAAAAGGGAAGGTAATAAGAATTGGGTGATATTAGAACTACTTAAATGTAAACTTGTGATCATTTTTTTCTTTTTTATTTGAGATTTTCTTAGTATAATTTATATATATTTATGTAAACTTTACATCTAATCGTTCTTTTATGCTTATTTGTGATTTTATAAATTATATTCTTAGTATAATTTTTCGGCAATGTATAACTCGGATTACTATTAATAGTTAGTATTCATGACTATATAGTTAGCCAACACTATTAGAAATCATTATCCACAA